TTCTACTAAGTTTTGCGAGCTTCCAGAGTCTTATGAACATCCTTCATTCCTCTGGGAGGGAACGCTTCCTTCTAGAAGCTCTGTAGCATCATCTAAGTTATATGAATTCTTTCTAATAACAGACTTTATTTTTCAATATTTTTGTGATTCATAGCAAAATTGAGTTATATGGAGTAGAGATAGCCCTGTATTATGTCTTATCCCTGCACATGCATAGCCTCTCTCATTATCAGTATCTCCATCAGAGTGGTTACTGATGAACTTACATCAACACAGTCTTACTATCCAAAGGTCATAGTTACATTAACCTTACTGCAGGATTGTACCTTCTGTAGATTTGTACAGACACATAACATCTAGCCATCATTGTAGCATCATACAGCATATTTCCATTACTCTAAAATCCTGGCAAACTGGACCAGTGAGCTAGCTCAGAAGGTAAAGGCAATTTGCTGCTAACTCTGTCAACCTGAGTTTGATCCCTTCAATCAGCATAAGGACAGAAAACAACTCTTAAAAGTTGTCCTTGGATCTTTATGTGTGCACTGCAGTATGAGCATGTACATGTATGCTCTCTCTCTCTCTCTCTCTCTCTCTCTCTCTCTCTCTCTCTCTCTCACACACACACACACACACACACGCACACACGCACGTACACACACACACAATCTAATGCATAATCTAATAAATAAAAATGAAGAAAAAATGTCCCATAACTTCTGCTCTTTTTAGTTCCCATAACTGTACCTTTTCCCAAATTTCATATATTTGGGATTAAGCCTATGTAGCCTTTACAGGCTGGGTTTTTTCACTTAGTAGCCTGCTCTTAAGTTTTTTTTTAAATCTTCATATAGCATAATAGTTCACTTCTTTATAAAATCACTAATAGTCTGCTTTATGAATCAACCTTGTCTGAATGTATCTACTCATCTCTCAAAGGCCATATTGGTTGCTTCTAGCTTCTGGCAGTTATGAGTATATCTGGCATAACATCTACATCTAGGCTTTATATGAGGTCATTTGGGTAAATGAAATTGCTAGACTGATTGGTAGAAGCATGCTCAGTTTTGCAGGAATCTACCTGACTATCTTCCCAAGTGGCTGCATCATTTTCATGTCTCCCACCAATGAATGGGAGTCCCTGCCTGGTCTCTTGTGTTGAAACTTGGTGTTTCCAGTGTTCTGGATTGTGGTCATCATCGTACATGCATACTTTAACTGTTATGTTTGGGTAAACATATGGCATTTGTCCACTGTCATAACACCATGCAACATACTTAACTACTTAAAACCCCAGAAACCTATAATTTCCTAACTCTAAGGTTTACTTGAAATAAAAGCACCCAAAATGACATTAAAGAGTAATAATAAGGCAGCATTGATAGTACCCAAGTTTAAGGCTTAGCTAAAAGCTACAATTGCGAAGACAGTGTGATATTGAAGAAAGAACAGATAAGTGTACAAATGGAACAAAACAGACAAGACGCGAGCCTGTGGCAGAGGAGCAAAGGAAACCCAAGACAAAGAAGGCCACTATATACTGTCAGAGGGAGCAATTGAGTAAGAGGAAAAACCAGTACAAAATGTAGTAGAATGCTATCTTCCGAATATAGCAGCCATGACCTTCTTCATTAGAAGCAGCTGTGGCCACATAGAAGAAACTCTCTAGATTGGGCCCACTGACATTCTCTTAGAAGGAAGAGTGGAGAAGGTCATCAGATATTCCCCTGTGATCTAAGCCACTCCTGCCCTCACCACTGATGAGTTTTCCAGCTATTTGTAGTCTCATGTTCGCAGAGGCTGTGAGTGTACACAGAGTGTGTAGAGTTGAATAAAGAGGGGACTCCATCGGTGTGGCTATGGAAAAATCATCATCTGAACTGAGATTTTCTATTGGTCTGGCCAGCTTGGGCTTACCCGTGCTCTGTACAGAAGCCCATAAACTCACTGGTTTTTCCAAGTTGTTCTTCACCCTGAAGTTTTGGCCTGAAGTTCTTCACCCTGTGTTTTGGCCTGTTGTTATGAGCTACCTGGGATGAATAAATGCTTGTTTGTACATGCTCAGGAAAGATTCACACAACACACACACACACACACACACACACACACACACACACACACACACACATGCACTAACACACCTAATTATATAAAGTAAGCATTGTTAGATCTAAAGGGAAAGATAGATTCAAAAACAATAATAGTAGAGGATCTCAGCACCCACTTTCATAAAGGGACAGGTCATCCAGACAAAAATTCAGCAAAGAAACATCAGAGTTTTAAATGTGATACAAACAAAGGGCACATTGTTAACACTTAGATCTTGAAGTACTTAAAGCTTATGTATTGAAGAAATGTCCTTAATTGGTAGTGTTGTTATGAAGTGGCAGAAATATTAGAAGTGGGTCTAGTTAGAAGAAGTAGGTTGCTGGGCGGTGGAGGCGCACGCCTTTAATCCCAGCACTCGGGAGGCAGAGGCAGGTGGATCTCTGTGAGTTCGAGGCCAGCCTGGACTACCAAGTGAG